CTATCCCTGAGTTATAAATGAGGGTACAGGCACAGAGAGGTTAAGTAACTGGGCCAAGGCTGCAGCAGCAATGTGATGAAACCAGGATCCAAACCAGTTTTCTGACTTTGAAGCTCTCAGCCTCTGCACAAAAACTCTTCTGGTGGCACAAGTGGGATCCTGGGACTGCCCAGGATAGCTGGAGACAGCCTCACGAAGGAGGAAGTTGTTGAGATAAGGCTGGAGGAATAAGTGTGAATTTGCCACAAGAAAGTTGGGTTCCCTTCAGGGAGACAAGCAGATGTGCAAAGGCAGAAGACGGAAGAGATCTCGGCATGTTCCAGAAAGCACACAGAGGTAACGTGGCTACAAGAAGTGAAAGTGGAAAGGTTGGTTGGGCGTCCAGGGCTAGGCTTGGGCCACATCATACCATGCACAGGAGTTGAGATTTCAGCCTCTGAAGAACTTTGGGCAGAAATATGAAATGGCTAGATTTTAGAAAGATATGGATCACCTTGAAGTTCAGGGGTTGCTAAGCCCTTGGGTCTTGGAATAAACAATTCTCATTAGTTTGAGGGAAAAAAATCATATTGGATACACATTGTTATGGGTTGAGTTGTGTGTCCTCAAAAGACATTGATGCCGGTACCTGTGGATGTGACCTTATTTGGAAATGGGGTTGTCATAGATATAACTAAGTTAAGATGAGGTTATTCCTAATCCAGTATAACTGGTGACCCCGTAAGAATAGGAAAGACGGAAACACCCAGGGAGGATGCCATGGGACAACAGTGGCATAGATTGAAGTGGTACAGTTGCAAGCCAAGGATTGTCAGCCACCACCAAAGGCTAGGAAGAGGAAAGGAAAGATTTATCCCTAGAGCCTTCCTAGGGACCTGTTCACACCTGTTGACACCTTGATTTTGGACTTTGAGCCTCCAGAACTGTGGGAGAATAAATTTCTGTTCTAAGCCATCCAGTTTGTGGTACTTTGCTACCGCAGCCCTAGATAACAAACATATTAACCTCGATTTTTCTAAATGTGTTCATCAGCAATTAATGTCTGGGAAACACTGTGCTCTGTGCTAAAGAGTATAAGAAAATAAAAGTTAGCCATTGCACATAAGAATGTAAATTCTCTGCCTGTTTCCCCTCAGCACTGAGGTGTTTCACGTCAATCCAACAAGAGCAGTAGGCATTTAAAAAGTGTAAGACAAGCTCCTAATCTCAGTTTACTCACTTTAAATGCCAAGTCACTAATTTGAAAGGAATAAATTGCCATAGGTGAGTTTATTGTGCTTTCCTTTGTAAACCAAAAGTAAACATTATTTGCTGGTTATCAAACTTGCACAACAGAATGATTTATCTGCACTTGTTGCCTAGTTTCAAAAGTTGTTAATCATTCTAAACATTTTTTGCAGTTTAAGACCCGCCTGAAATTAGCAAGTGGGTTTCTCAGGTAAACTGAGGCCTGTTGGTTTAGATTCGGCCAAAGAGTTTCCTGATGAAGACAAGGATGGTTCGAGAGCAAACAGCGGATGACACAGATACAATCACTCTTACAGAAGAGCAGCTCTGGAACATAAATGAATCAGGAACAGTATTACTGTTAGTAATATTAATACTAATAGGGAATTGGTATTGTAGTAATAACATTATTATATAATGTTTGCCAACTAAGTATGCAAACCATCTTAAAGCATGTGGCCCTATTTAGCCTAAGAGTTTATAGTGTATAAGATACTTAGTTCAATTATATCTTAATAAAATTGGAAACAATAGTGTAGAAGATATTTGAAATTGGTAATCAGTGTTTTGGATTGCTCATCTAGGCCTGTGAGATGTTATTTTTAAGCAGTTCCTTTTTTTATGCAGGCTGACAACTTGCTTTTACTCTCGCTAATCAGTTCATCTTGTTTATGGTTTTATTTGCACTTCAGTTTGCCTAAATGGTTTGGGGTCATGTTTTATAATTTTAACTCTTTCATCTTGCCTATTAGTTGTCAATTCCCTCTCAGTTAACAATGTCTTTGTAGCCTCATTTTAAATAAAAATTTTAATAGTTGGGAAGATTCATACATACCTATATTAAATATTAGTATGTTCAGATTAGAACATAATTATATTAGAATAATGTCCTTTTTGAATTTCATAAACTTTGGAACATTTATATTGGTGATGGATGAAAAGAACTTTCTGAATGATACTGTTAAATATCAACCAGTAGGTGGCGAAAACTGGCAATAAAAAGCTTTTTGTTTGCCAGACTGGAGAATAAAGAAGGAAAACATAGGCCTTTCAGATTCTTGATACAATCTCCATTCACTGCATCTTGTTCTTTTCTCTTCCTGGTGTCACCCTACTGCTAGAACCCAGCCAGGCAAAACTGGGAAAAGGACCATCCATTGGCTCTTAAAAGTGGAAGGCGTCTTGGGAAGTGAAAAGCCTACATGTAGAAGGTCATTGGAAGGTCTCTAGATTCACACCTGGAACTCCTGACACAGACTAGTGGTCCCTGCGCCATCTCACCAATGCCCAGAGGCAGACAGTTAATCCACACACTTCTGGGGAATACCCGCCCTCAGCTTTAGATGGACTCTAATAAACATGCAATCTGAATGGAGGAATTTTTTCACCCTTTTGATTGAAAGAGTATCCAGGACATTCATTCCCAGGGAATATACAGCCTTAGTCAAGGACTAATGCAGACCTGTCCTGAAAATACCTGGTTAACAGTCAAGTGTAGAAGACTCTGTAAAGTGAGGCTCTATAAAGTAAAGGAGGAATAAAGGAAGCTTTTCTTTCCCTGGGAATGGGGTATCGTTTACTTTTGGTTGCCCCCTTTGCAGAAGTACTCTCCTTTCCACCTCTGGCCTCTCATTTCCTCACTCACATGCTGGATCTCAGAACACTAAAGCTTTCAATTCCTCTTAAGTGATTTTGGAGGTTTAAGACAAGGTTCTGAGAAGATTCCTAAACCACGATGTGTGGCGTTAGCAGGGGTTTCTGCTAATTTCCGTGAGAACATATATCCCAGGCCAGTCTATACCCAGCATCTCTCTCCGGGCCAGCACACCACGACCATGGGTAAAAGGGCACTCTGGCACAGCCCTGGGAAGGCTGGAAGGACCACCTTCCTTCATTCTCTCTTGTCTGAGTAAGACAGTTGGACAGGCAGTCATTCCTATCTGCCAGAGGTTGGCACATTGGCTGATTGGCTTTGATAAGTGAAGAAATTAAAATAATTTGCTGTGCTTATTTTGCTAAGGAAGAAATGCTTTGATTTTAGACTAGGAATGAGACAAACTAAAGACAGTGTGAGAACGTTTTTGTGCACCCGGGCAGTACTCACTTCTCACGTTTCTGCGACCACAATAATCCAGTGTCCCTATCCGTTTGTACTTGAGCCCCGTTAGGTAAACCGCCATGCTATTAGTAAACATTTTTTTCTTTGCACTTTATTTGTCAAAGACTCTTAGAGATAAAAATAAACACATGCAACTGGTTTGCCCTCATGTTTTTCTCCTGGAGGCTACTCATGCTGATGAATTAAAAAAAAAAAACCAGCGTGTGCTGGTGTGTACTTACTAAGTGTGTAATACCTGGGTCTGTGTACGTATAGATAACTCGAGAAAGTGTGACCATCTGGGATTCGCTGCTAGGCGACCATGGAGGTCCTCAGAAACCCACCCACCCTGGGTTAGGGGCTGCCGGCCTGAAAGTTGCCCTATAGCCCCCCGCGGCGTCCAGCCCTAACCCAATGCCAAAATTGCTAGGAGCAGAGGAAAAATATTTACTTAACCACTTGAAAGCCCGTGGTATCCCCTACTGGCTTCTCCGCTGGGCCACTGAGAGCTACGTCTAGCCTTGATCAGGGATGGTGTCTCCGGAGTGTATGTTCTGCATGGACACCTAGGGAGCAACTGGAAAGGAAACACTACGCTTGGAGCTTCCCTCGCTGATGAATGGGCAGCGTCGCCTTTCTTCAAGGGAAGGTCAGCCTCGGCCGAGCGCTGGTAACACGGTGTGTGTGCGCGCGCGCACACACACACGCACACACACGGTTAGAAGGGTCTAAGCGATTCCCGGCGCTTTTCCAGCGCTTGTTTTCTTGGCGGCCCCCCCTCCCCTCACTCCCCAGCAGCCACCCGGCCGGCCGCGTGCGGTTCCCCGGCGCCCCCCCCCGGCCCCTCGCGGGCCCCGGAGACCCCG